TCCTAGGTCTCAGGTTGTTTAATTTTGCTACCATTTGGCCAGTGTTTCCGTCATCCTGTGTTCCAAACTGTCCCCGAAATAGTACCGATAGCGAGATCAAACTTGATCAGAGATGATCAGAAGAAAGGTTGAGGCTTGAAACGCCGACCCAATTTCTCTGCAAAGCACGAGGCGACAAGAGGGTCCCCTTTACCCCTTTTCGGGAATGGTATGTTATTCAATCGCTTTTCATATGGAGAAATTTCTGGCTTGACATAGGTATTGAAAATTATGTCTTTCCTTTTTCACTTTTTTGACTTATTCTAGTGTTCGATGTACACGACGATGGGGAGTGTGGCTATCAATGGTTGTCGTCTAGACTCCAGGAATACGGTGCGTGAGTATATAATATGATGACAAAGTGTTCGACTGAGGGGAAGAATATCTGCTCAGCTAAGGCGTGATTTTCGCTTTGTAGGAGGTGTGGTAGACTTCTGGGAATCTATGCATGGTGTTTTTATTTCCAATTTGTTTGTATTTTAGGGTCTAGATGAAAGTTGATTAGTGTAAATTGGATTCACCCCAGTGATAGAAAGTGTAATAATGTTATTATCATTATTATTAGCATTATAACACTTGCCAATGTTTGGTGCTAATAAAGGTTTATCATTTATAACTACCAGGTTACGAGGGACGAGCTTTGTACGGTTATCATTGTCCCGGACACCCGCTGACTAGTCTCGGGATATACCGCAACCAAGAAGGAATGCTATACGTGAAGTGATTATTGAACAGTCTACGGAAGCAACTTGGAATTGTTTCACGATCTACACTAGTTCCTTTTTTAAATCTTTTAGCTGAGGTCATTCGATGTAATCGCATATCCTTGATACACAGAATTATACAAGATGGAAGTATTACATCCTCATTTAAAAAGGACTGATTATGCAAATAGCTAAAGCCGTAAAAGAAAAAAAAACCTGGAAAAATAAATTTCATCCGTTTTATTCATTCATTGGGTCAAGAGCGGATTAAATGAGGATCAAACGAAGAGAATAAATAACTTATTACCTCCCGAGTAACTTGAATCATTATATTTATTTCTGTCATATTTACAGTTATTAATGTATAAAAATTTATTAGAATCTCTTCATCTGGCTTTTGGATAAAAACAAGACGATTCATTTATTTCGAGCGTTGCTAGCCTGAGAATGCTTCGGAAGAATAAGAACTGACCTCATTTAAGTAATCTGTTGCATAGCTTATCACCAAATTGCAGTTATTTCGAAAACTCGCACCGGAGTCCATGGTTTCAATCAAAATATAAATGTTGCTTGAAACGTCATTTCAAAAGCATACTGTGGAGGATGGACACTTCGAGAAAGGATCTTCAATTAGAGTGTATTTGCTCTTCTATTCGTTTTTGTTTGTTTGTCAGTGAAGCTTTTGTTTGCCTCCTTATGAATAACTTATGGTTACTTTTTGCTTATCCGTGGGAAGTCTGTGCTACCTAGGATAGAACCGTTAGGAACTCACCATAACAACCATCTGAAAATACTAAAAATGACCAGAACGGCAATCTTTGTTGGTCCTTGCACTTCAAAATCTGTGCCCAGTTTAAAAATCGCGAAGGAACAAACTATCCCTATGGGTGATGCACATCACTGTTGTAACAAAACTTATTTGTTTTTCCTGGCATACAACATGCGGCTGACGTCAATGGATCTCTTTTCGTAAATTACTTTTGAAATCAAAAATAACTTCTGAACCCGCGGGAGATCACATAACTTATTAGCATAAAAATGAGGACAGCTTTTTAAAAATATTTATAGTGAGTCATGGTGGCAACGCTGATGACTCCACGAGCAACTATCGACCCGTTGATGGCAGGAAAATAACTTAATGGGAATAGTTTCCTTGTCTGGCTATCTTCGGTAAGAGAACTAGGAGGAGCATGTTATCCGGAAAATACTAGTAGGTAAGTCTGGACATAATATTTTCTGTTATCTGATGATCAAAGCTCAGCAGGGAAGATATAC